GAAAAGTTCTTAAAAGTGTAGTTGCTCACTTATGATAAACATCTTTTCTTCAATGTGGTATATATATACAATGGAATATTATGCAGCCATCAAAAAATGAAATCTTGCCATTTGCAACGACATGGATGGAACTAGAGGGTATTATGCTAAGCGAAATAAGTCAATCAGAGAAAGACATGTATCATATGACCTCACTGATATGAGGAATTCTTAATCTCAGGAAACAAACTGAGAGTTGCTAGAGTGGTGAGGGGTGGGAGGGATGGGGTGGCTGGGTGATAGACATTGGGGAGGGTATGTGCTATGGTGAGTGCTGTGAATTGTGTAAGACTGATGAATCACAGACCTGTACCCCCGAAACAAATAATACATTATATGTTAATTAAAAAAATAAAATAAAGCTTAAAAAAAAAAGCTTTTCTTCAGCTTTCATGACCAAATTATGGCCCAACAAATTATGTAGCCAGTGCTGTGTGGAACAATTCTAAATATTAAGGGTTTTTATAATGGGTTTTTATTATATCTAAAACCCAGATTAGTGCAGTGACTTTCTGTCAGAGAGCTACTTTTAGACAAAACTAACTTCTTTATAAAAAGTGAGTGAAGAAAAAGAAAAAAAAATGTGAGTGAACAGTTTGTCTACTTACAGGCATGGCAAACAGACAATATCCAGGTATGTGAATGGACCTTGCAATCTAAATATCCATCAAAACAGTATGGCTTAAATATACTATGATGTGTACATAAGACATAGAGTACTACTTGGACACATGGAAACCTAATCCTGGTTGCAGGTTAGAATTACTACCTCAGGAGATTTAAGAAAAATGGTCCTGGCCTTCACTCTGAAATGTACTGAGTTTTTGTTTTTGCTTTTTGCTTTTAAGTTCCCCAAGTGAATCTAATCTGTAGGCAGGACTGAGAACCATTGATGTCAGCCTTAAAGAGGATATAAATCTATTAGCATGGAATATTGTCTACAACATATAGTTGTTCTAAAAAAAATGCAGGTTGTGGATCATAGGATTCCATTTGTGTAAAATATTCCTAATATGCAGTACACATTCTGTAAGGCAAACAGCAAACTGGAGAGGATGGGTATGGAGAGAGGAGCTGAGACTCCTGAAGGCTTAACTTTCTATACTTCCATATTTTTTTACAGCAGAATGCAGATTTTTAAAAATATGGTATTTTTTAAATCAGCAAAAGCTTCACATTTTTATTTTCATGAAAAAAAAAAAGACATGGTAAGTCTTTGATTTATATCTTCCAGCTGTTTAGAACATGAATATTTACAATTTGTACTAGAGTCTTCACAATTTTCCTTAGCTTACAATTTAGTATGGAAAGTGTTATCACAAGCATTGTCTCCTTCGTATTAGTTGAACTCATTCCCATTTACAGGTAAAAAGACGAAGAGTTAAGTCACCAGACTCTGCTCTTAAGATAATTCAACCCAGGGTGCCTGGGTGGCTCAGTTGGTTAAGCGACTGCCTTCGGCTTGGGTCATGCTCCTGGAGTCCCTGGATCGAGTCCCTGGATCGAGTCCCGCATCGGGCTCCCTGCTCGGCGGGGAGCCTGCTTCTCCCTCTGACCCTCCCCCCTCTCATGTGCTCTCTCTCTC